CCTGCCCCGGCCCCCCCCCCCGCCCGGGAAGGGGGAGCCCCACAGGGAGCCCAGGACCCCTCCTCGGCCGGCATTGTGGCCTGGTTGCTCTGTGGCCCCGGCTCCCTGTCCGTTGGTGGGGCCCGCTCCAGCGCTGGCCGCCCTGGGGCTGGGAGGTGCGGCGGGGCCCGGCCGTGGCCCTTGTCCTGCCCCACACACCCAGCTCAGCCTCACGTTCTCTCCCCTGCAGGTTTTTCCTCATGTGCTATATGTTCGTCAACCTGGCATGTGCGGTGCAGACGCTGCTGCGCACACCCAACTGGCGGCCCCGCTTCCGCTACTACCACTGGTGAGCTGGGGCGGGACAGGAACGGACAGGATGGGGCGTCCTGCCATCCCCCCCGGGTCACCCCAGGCCAGGGACCCCAGCACCACAGCAGGGCCCGGGGTGGACTGATGGCATGGTGCTCTCCACAGGACCCTATCCTTCCTGGGCATGAGCCTCTGCTTGGCGCTGATGTTCATCTGCTCCTGGTACTACGCGCTGGTCGCCATGCTGATCGCTGGCCTCATCTACAAATACATTGAGTACCGCGGGTAAGGATGGCCACGAGGCCTCAGACCCTGCCCAGCACGGACAGGTGCCCCACAGCCCCTCGGTGTGGGCTGCTCCATTTCCCCGGGATGCTCCAGGGTGCCGTCATGGTGCTCCATGGCCAGAGCTCGGGGCATCCCTTACGTGGTGCTGGTTCCCGCAGGGCGGAGAAGGAGTGGGGCGATGGGATCCGGGGGCTGTCCCTGAGCGCAGCCCGCTACGCCCTGCTGCGGCTGGAGGAGGGTCCCCCACACACCAAGAACTGGAGGTGAGGCCGGGCCGGCGGGCTGGGGGCCGGGGGAGGCCAGGGCTCAGGTGCTGACTGCAGGACCGTCCTTCCAGGCCGCAGCTGCTGGTCCTGGTCCGTGGGGATCAGGAGCAGAACGTGGTGCACCCGCAGCTCCTGTCCTTCACATCACAGCTCAAGGCCGGCAAGGGCCTCACCATCGTGGCCTCCGTGCTGGAAGGGACCTTCCTGGACAACCACCCGCAGGCGCAGAGGGCAGAGGAGGTGAGAGCTTCCCACGCTGGGGCTGCTGCCCACACCAGCCCGGGTTCCCCCAGCAGCGGGAGCCCGTGGCCATCCCCGGGAGCCCAGTGGCATTTCTGCCCCGTGGCCAGGGCTGGCAGCCCCGGCTGGTGGGGAGAGCACCGGGGCGGCACCAGGCAGAGCTCTGAGACTCCACGCTTCACCGGTGCTCGGGTCACCATGGGGATCTCCCGACCCCTGCCCCCCACACCAGATGCCAGAGACAGCGGCACCAGTCGGGCGTTGGTCCCAGTCTTGGCCGGCCGCCGGACAGAGCAGCCCCTCAGCTGCCCCGTGGCTGCTGCAGCCCCCACCCTCCCCACAGCCCCTGTGGCCTCCATGGGCCCTGCGGCCCCGGTGCCAGGCAGGGTAGGAGCTGGGAGCCTTTCCCTGCCGGAGCGAGAGCCCTCCCCGTTCCCTGCACCTCTGCACCAGCCGGGCGGCACATTAATGAGATTAAGCCCTTGGAAGCAAACAGTTTCTCTCCCATGCAGACATGTTATAATTTCTCTGAGTAAATAACTCTAATTGCTGCTCCACCGCCCATCAGAGCCCTGGCACGGGGACACCCTCCGCTTGGCATGGCGCGGAGCTGAGCGCCAGCTCCACTCAGCTCTGGGCCTTGCTCCTCCCAGCCCGGAGCGGCCAGCCCGCCGAGGGACACGGAGAGCGCGGCA